GGGGTGGCCCCATGGCCGTGCTGTCCCGGCCCCGCCAAGGCCTGTCCGTGAGCAAGGTTTCCAGGTTCAAGTCAGCTTTTCTCCCGAGGCCCACGCCTGCTTCTCGCTTGCGCTACCCGTGCGAATGGCGAAGGAAAATAAAAACTCAGCAAAATCTCTCACAAATGCCAGTGCTTTTAAACATTAAACGACTTTTAAATTCTTTGGATGTGTGGGTCTGACCCACAAAGCAATCTTTCTAGAAAAAGACAAATAAATTAAAGAAAAAACACACTAATAATGCCTTTCTGCTTTCTAAGTGACAAAAGTACTACCTTGAAACACTCATTTTGGCATGTACAAGTTGGGGGGAAGGGAGGCCTGGGGGGTAACCTGGCAGTGTTTGTAACACGGGTGGAAGTGCATGCCAAGACAAGGCTGAAGATACACCCTGCAGTCAAGAGAAGCACTCTCCTTCAGTTTATCTCAGCATCAAGAATGAAAAGATTGTAACATAAAGCTTTGGCCATTTTTGAATCTACTATATACAATTTTTTTTTAAACTACATAGTCATAAATTAAAACAGTGATTAAATAAGCGTATACAAAATGTAATTAAATTAAAAGTCACAGCACATTATAGAGAAAAAATAGGAACCATTTATCACAGCAGAGAATATCTTTTTTTACCCTGTGAAAAGAACATCGACTAGCAAACACAAAGCATCCTAGCTGAAACAAAAGTAATCAAAGCCATGTTTCCCTTTCTTGCATTCATTGCAAACAGCGATCTTTACCCACTTTGAAACATTCCCAGGAATAATATCTTCCTTGAGTATAACAGAGAAGTTCTGCCAAAAAAAAAAAGGAAAAAAAGAAGAAACCCAAACCCAAACCAAACAATATAAAAGGAATATACAAACAAAACAACCCCTACAAAATAAATAAGAATTATAAAGCTTTTTTTTAAGTAACCTTAACAATTATCAAACTAGTAAGTTCTGCCTTATCACATAGACTCTCTATACAACATAACCCTAAAGATTTATTACTATGAGGTATTTGGAGGAATTGGTAAAAGCGATGCACGGCCTGTCTGGGCTGAGGGACTCAAGCTGCTTTGGGGGAAAGAAGAGGGAGCCTTTGGTTTGTCAGCAAGAAAGTGGAAAAAAACATTTTCCTTTGGTATCAAAGAAAGTTTCATTGCATGGTTGCACGGCAAAAAGCACCACGGTGAAGAATTATTCCTTTTTTTCATTAGTGGCCTTTCTAACAGGCTGAGGTATTCAAAGAGTATAAGGTGAGAGATAAAGAGGTCAACAGCGGTTTAACACTTTGGTTCAAGCAAGGCACTCGTCCTATGAGTTTACAAAGTTTGCAACATGTTTGCCAAGAGCTTTATTATTATTATTATTATCCTTATCATCGTCAGTAGTAGCAGTTGTAGCAAGAAAAGTATTCATAAGGTTATTAGCATTACCACTAAGAATGAAGACAAGGTTACACATTGAGTGAAGGTGAGGAAGGGGGTCAGGGGACGGGGGTAAGAAGGAGGATGAGTTCCTTTTCCAGACCAAGGCCGTGCATGAAAAATCTTTGGTATTCTTTGGTATCATCAATGTGATTAAAATCACCAATGGAAATCGAGTGAGGTAGCGTCTTTGGTTCACACTATAAATAGTAGATCTTTACACACTTTTTTTTCTTTTTTTTTTCTTTTTTTTTTTAACACGTGGAAGTAGCTATTCCTTACCTTTTGCTTCTTTGTCTTTAGCAAATAGTTACCAAATGTATTGTAAAGCTAACCACACCACAATAATAAACCAGGAGGCTAAGCAAAGTCTCAAAATTAGCCCCTGGGCCTTTGAATGCACCCAAACGCAGTGAGATAGAAAAGGGTAAGTGCTTTCTCTTTGTTTGCTAAATGCATAGTTTTCATCCCTATGTACAAAGGAGGAGGAAGAGGAGGAGGATAGGAAGAGGAAGAGTAGTAGAAAGAAGGAACGTTTTTTGGGGTAAAAATGTCCTGTTTACAACTCAGGTGAGGAGAGGTGTCCTAAGACTCTTTGGTATAAGCTCAGCAGTGTTTCCCAGCCCTCCGGGCAGCAGCAGCCCCTGGGGCAGTGCCCACCACCACTAGCCTTGTCCTGGAGCCCAGGAGAGGCGCGGTGCCCATGGGCAGCCCTGGGGTCGCTCTCATGCCAGGCCACTCGGCTGCTTGGGAATTTGCTCCTGGCATGGGGTGGGCAGGAGCAACTTCTCAAGCAAAAGCCCCATTGCTGGCTGGCTCTGGTGGGGTTTGCTTTACCTGAGTAAGGAGAGGAGGCTGCGGCCCTGGAAAGCCACACAGGGCTAAAGGAGCGCGGTGGGGCAGGCTGGAGGAGGATGGGTTTTTTTTGTTTGTTTTGTTTTTTTCCTAGAAATCTAATGATGCCATTTACAATGGGGATGGATGAGGACAGTTCACCTCCTGGCCAGCCTCCCACCGTGGGTCACTGCGGTCATGTTTGGATGCAGCCTGTTAGCTGAATGCGTGTTCCTAATGCCCTCTTGCCCTTGGAGTCACCTTTGAAGCCCCATCTCCTGATGCTCCCAAACTGTTTTGGGTTCTGCTCCCTCTCCTAATCCTGCCTGGCAGAGTTTTAGATCCTCTTGTCGAATTTGAAACTAATTCCCATTTTGTCAGGAATGAAATGAACTGAAAGACTATCAGGCAGAGACAGGTTTCCTGGGTAATGGTAAATGCAGCATCAGAAGAAACTCCCCTTCAAGGATGCCCTGTTGAGTAATGGCACCAGTCAGAGCAGGGGAGCACCAGGTAACCTGCCCGTGCTTCAGTCGGTGTGGCCAGGCAGTCTGCTCAGAGGTGACACAGCCTTCCAGCAGACTGAGCAGTTCCAGAGTTATTTGCTTCATGTTTGGAAGGAAATCAAAGGAAATTGTGTTCTTTGCCTATTCAGAGTATGAGGCGCATATTGCTCATGGGAAGAGTGGTTTGTTCCTAATGGCTTAGAGAAAACCAAAAGGTTTATATCTACTTAAACAGACATGTAAAAAACCCAAAACGCTTAAAATCTACAACTTGTGCATCAGTATTTGTGTGTGTGGACGTGTGTGTGCACATGTATACATACATACACTCCATCAAAATGTGTGTGCATGTACATATACACAGTCCTGTTTAGGGGCTTGCATGTGTGTGTATCAGAGATCCTGAAATTGCATATTGGGTGCAAATTTAATGCTGGTATGAAAGTTCTCTTTGGTTTCAGCAAGTAGTCTATAAAGACAATACAATGGAAATACTAAAAATGCGGCAATGTACTTTGAATTTCCCTGCATTTTTAAATTCTCAAGTTTTAAATAAATAAGGCTTTATTCTCTAAACTATAGGTACATTACAAAGCAGTGTTTTGCTGGAAAAAACTAAACCATTAGTTATCACTGTCCTTTATTAACCTTACACGAATGAGACTGCATACATAAGGTACTTTATATGTGAGCTTATCAATGTTTCCATGTCAATTATGTCTCCATGGGGATGGAACACTTCAAAAGAAAGCTTGCTAAAATTTAAGGTAAGCTAGAGACTCAAAAAACGTCCGGATTAGGTGCCATTTTCATTGATAATTGCCTTGTCAGCCTTAAAGTGGGTTTAACATACTGAAATACAGAGAAATATTCAGTGCTAAAAATATTTGGTTTATTTAATTTTATTTTAATAAAGAGATATTTCATCTGTATTCTAAACACTGGGTGGAAACAAACTAAATACCCTGAACCTTGACTAGACCCTGTCCTCTTGGGAAACAACTGGTGCTACAAAAGTTGCTCTACTTTGGTGTCACTGGGATTTTGAGTAGGCTTCATCCCCCAAACCAGTATCTGCTACTGTTCATAGTGTTTGGATTCTAGTTTACCTTGAATTTTCCTTTGTCTTTTTTTTTTCTTTTCCTTAAACACAAAAAGGTTGAAAGTAAGATTACCTATTTCTAGTCCTTGCATTGGGCCTATACCTGCATATTTGGTTATTTTGGAATTTATTATACCTAACATAATCACTACAGTAATTTGAAATACCAGTTAGAAATCTAACAGGCACATGTATGGTTTTTACAGTCTATTTTCCCCTTACATTAAAATTTAATATGCAGAAATTTCACGATTTTGTCTTTAATTTTATCAGAGTAGGAATGGGATGATTTATCTCCTATGGGTCTGTTAGCAACAGAGCGTTTAAAGCTTTTCAGCTACAAATTTCAAACTATTTCATGCATTATCCTGACTAATAGATGAGCAAGAAAGAATGCATGGGACAAAAGCTCAGCCTGCTACACATAGATACAAAGCCACAAAACATCGGGCTGTATCTCGGTGTCGTGGGAATTTTGCTTTTGACTTCAGAGAGATCACAATTCTTCCTTCCAAAAGCGCTGCTGCAGCTGCTCCTGGAGCTCTCCCACATTTGCTGATGCTGATGCTGTGTTTCCCCAGCAGTGGGAAAAGAGCAGGAGCTGTCCCAGCTGCTCCTGCTCCTGTGCCTGCCCAGTCGATAGGCAAAAACCACAGCTCGCTGATGGCAAGGAGCAGCGAGCAGACGCCGAGCCCGTGGCTCTGCATCCCCCAATTGCTGCACCCTGAGCGCCTCAGCTCTCCTGTTCACGGGCTGGGTGCCAGCGCTGGGCCCTGAGCGCACGGGCAGCAGCTGGGACAGCGCCTGGGGACCGGCACGCGCGGGGTCACACCGTGTCACACACAGTGTCACAACAGTGTCACACAGTGTCACACACGGTGTCACACAAAGTGTTACACACGGTGCTACACACGGTGTCACACACGGTGTCACACACGGTGTCACACACGGTGTCACACACGGTGTCACACACGGTGTCACACAGTGCCACACATGGTGTCACACACGGTGTCACACATGGCTCTAACACGTGGCTCCTTCCTGTGCTCCCGCTGAAGCCAGTGAGGAAAGGGCTCACTGAGTCCAGGGGGGCAGCATCCCGTGCTCGGTTCTCGTGCTCTGCCAGGGGCTGTGATCTGCTTGGGTGACATTCTTTCTTGCCAATCACAGAAAGAAAAGATATTGTGGTTTTACTAATTGCAAATAACAGTCTTGATTACAAGTTTTATGTGTTATACAGTTAGATTAGTTTATACCTATAACTCTACATAGTATTTGTGTAAAAATAGCTTTGGAATATTAAAATCATTGCAATAAAATACCTGCAATACAATTATTAAATGTGTTCTTTGGTAGCTAGTCGATTTTTTTTATGGATGGAATAGTTTTCCTTTTTTAAATCTGAACATTCCTTAACAAACAAAGAGAATGCACTGGTTTAGGTACCATTCAAAATTTCCTTGCCTAGTTTGAACTTGTTTCGAGGCATTGCACCAGCCAAGCTCAAACTGTGAAACAGCAAAAATCACACTACCGTTCCAAGGAATTCAGACGACTCCACGCTTTGTCGGCCGTGCCCTGGCACAGCCCTCTCTGGAGACCAGCCCTAAGTCCCTGCCCACGGCGTTCGCAGGACGGACACACCGAGCACCTCCGAGGCGGTCGCTGCGGACGTGGAGAGCTGTATCCAACGAGGTGTCTGCTCCGTGACAGGAAACCACTATGCTCCAAACCACTAAACAGCCAAGTACGGTGAAGATGATAATGGGCAAAGGTGTAAGACCAGTGGTCTGTTCCTCTTCTCTTTGCTTTCCGTTCCGTTCCCTCCATTTCGCTTTCTTCTTCCTCTCTGTTTTTTGCAAGTCGTCATCCTACTAAAGTGTGTGTCTTAGAACAAAGTCATAATGCAGGTGAAATAAGTCTTTGGTTTCTTTGGACTTATAAATATTTTTTTTCAAATAGTTTTAAGTATAAACCTGCTATTTTGAGGTCCTGGTCTGTCTTTATTTATTTATTTATTTATTTTTAAAGCTTTTCCACCGAGGTTTTAGTTCGTGGTTATTCCTTCATGCTTTGGTACAAGTGCTTGATGAAGAAGATGAGTTGCCTGAATTGGAGCTGCCCTCGTCTTGCCACTTATCCAGACTCCTCCTCCGTGCATTCATGAAAAAGTTGCTGACGGTGCTCAGCTCCAACCCGAGCTGCTGGGAAATGGTGATTTGTAACTCTTTGGACGGACGCTTATTTTCCTTGAATATTGCATGTAGAGTTCGACGCTGGACATCAGTGAAGACCAAGCGAGGCTTTTTGGGTGTATTCCCTCTATCCTTCCCGTGTTCCTGTTCTTTCCTCTTGCACGCTGCAAGAAAGGGGAGGCGAGTTAGAGAGGGCTGGCAGAGGAGTATGTGGGAACACAGTACAGGGCTAATTAGGGAAAAAGGACTGTTCATGTCAGCTTCTGAATTTGGAGAGGTTGTGGGACATTTGAGTCTCTAACTCTTTAAAACTATTACAAGTATAAGAAAAGAAAATACCTTTGTTGTTGTCTGCTAAAACTCAGCAAATGCTTTGACTAAGAACTTACATTTTGATACTACCCATTAGTACTGAAAAATTAACTATTTAATATCTGTAGGAGGTAAACTGGAATTTCAGGGAACTCTAAAGTTAACCTTGGTAATATTTTTTACAATTATTAGTTGCTTTCAATCAATTTCTGTATATTTTTGTTGACTGAGAAATAAGGAACTGTGAGAAAGCAGGTTACTACTACGGTCTTACGGGCCAGATGCATTCTGAATAAAATAAAACATGTTTTGTCATGAAAAACAATGGTATAGCAAATCTTCTTTATAGAATTGCTCCTTGTTTCATCTATAATCCCTTATTTCCCTTTGAGAATGTTATTTTGCTCTAAAGGATGCTTGCAATTTGAAATTTGCCTCCCAGATCACCTTCCAGGCAGGATCTGATGGGATGTGAGGGAGACTCCCAGATCCCTCTGTCAGCCTTCGAATGTCTGCCAGCTCATCTTAGCATTTTGCTAGGATAAAAGCTTCCTTGGGAGGGCAGATTACTCTGCCTCACTTTTAAAATTGTCTGAAGTTGTCTGTTTCCCTTCATTCTCTAACAATGTCCTTTAATTCTGATTGAGAGATGTGTTTCTCAAGGTAATATGAATGTTCTTTCTCTGTGTCTGTCTAGTCTTGGCTTATGTGGAAATCAGTACTGACTACATGAAGAATTTTGTGCACTATCTCTACTTACACCATGATTATTGGAATGAAAACAACAAATTACTTTGCAAGGGTCCTTTCTACAACTTCTACTACTACCAAGAGCCAGCCCTGGCATGAGGGTTTCATTGCTCATGGGAGGTATGCCAATAGTCATCCACCTTTTGTACCTGAGGATTAGGAGCTGCACAGATCAGGAGCCAGGAGCTGTGAAGGCTCCTTCTGCTGGCCCAGGCAGGGACCACGACCCTGGAGGCTCCATCCCCTCTGAGGAGAGGCTTTTGAAAGGGTCCCTAACAATCTATATTCCAGCCACATACTCTGTCATGAGAAATCACACATCAATCAAATGGCTTGGGCTGCCAAGCTCATGTCTCCTATAGGTATTTTTATCTGAAAACCTTTGAAGAATGCTTTGAAGTTACATCCTGACCTCTAAAACCCCGTGGAGCTTCTGGGCTAAAAACCAGGTTTCTTGATGCACACGAGCCCCTACTGAAGCCAAACTGCTGAATTCACTGTGGGGATTGGTTCCTGCTGAAATAATCTGCATCCCCACTGGAGGTTAACATGGGCAAATCAAGGGTTAAAAATGCTTTTGCAAGAATAGTCTGTTATTTACTGACAAATAGTAGAGAATGAGGATACCAACAGCATCTCAGTCCTTTATGTATGTCTGACCATTGGATAATCAGAAATTCCTGGGAAAGCAGCTGCAGGAGCTCAGCTTTGTAACAGCCTCAGCCTGCAGCTCTGACTGCCCCTGCTAACAGGCTCAGGCAGAAATGACCACAAACCAGGTGCAGACAACATTTGCTGTGCTTCATTTCTGCTCATGCTGCTTTACACCTTCCTTTTTTAAAGACTACACAAATTCCATCTTCTGCCTAGATACTCCGTCCAGATCATAATTTGTCACAAAATCCTAATGGCACAGAGAGCGTGATCCAAGTCAGTGCTGTGCAATGCTTCAGTGGGAATCATCACATCACAAATGACAGCCACAGCAGCAGGTACAGAGCCAGCTCAATTAGTGAGGCAGCCTCTGGGGCTTCAGTCAAAGCTACTACATGAGCTCTCTGAAATAGTAGGGAGTAACAAAAAAAACAACCATCTACTGTGAAACTAGCTTGCATAACACATTGTCTTCCTGAACTTGTGCTCATTTCCTGAAATGTAGTATTCCTGAAAAATTACTTCCATAGACAGTGTCCCAAGAGTTACAACATACCTTGGTACCCAATTTCAATTGTATCAAAACCCTCTTCATTAATGCTAGTGACATCACAGAGGTAAGGAAAAATAGCTCATTACTAGGGAGGAAAAAAAAAACCTAACCGGTCTATGATACAAATAAGCCTATTTTACTTTTTTGCAAATATTTTCAGCTCTACTTCCATTAGCATTTGCCAGAGGCAGACTGAGGCTAAAAATTTCCCAACATGCTTAATTGTTCCAAGAGCCCTCGCACTGCCAGGCCTCAGGCTGTGAGCAGCAGGGGTGGATACCACCTCTCATCTTCTGCCTTGTCCAGGCTCAGGAATATTAATAGCACTTAAAAATAAATAATAGTGATAATGAAAAACTCTAATAGGGTTTCCTTGCGATCGTTTTCCCTGCACTGGAGCCAATCAATTTTAATAATAAATTGTAGCTTCCAGCTTGCCAGAGAACAAATGTACACCACGGGATAAATCTGCTCCAACATGGGAGCAGATCCAGAGCAGGCACAGAGATCGGCAAGGGCTGGCAAGGTGGGGCTGCCAGGCTCTCCGACAGCAGCCTGAGCCATGCCCAGGCAGAGTGGCTGTGCCTACTCTGGCCAGGTCCTCCCCTAATGTCCATTGAGGTCAGGCCCCAGAGACATCGACTGAAATGGTTTCTTTGGAAAAACACCAGAGCCTGTCTTCACAACGATTTATCACACACTCCATCTCTCTTTTATCTTACATAGCAGAAGATAAAAACAGTAATTTGCACTGATGTCCTTCTTGTGCCCCTGCCCTTGAGCACTGCGAGTGGACCCTCTCCCACAGCAGCCACTGAATTTCGGTGCTTTGCAGGGTGCTGTGCTCCCTGGAGGAGTGCACCTCTCCCAGGACACACCCGCTGCCACCCTGCCCTCTCTCCCTGCTGCAGGCAGCCCTGGTTTTTGTCTCCAGGGTGCCCCAGCTGAGCCGTGCTCCATGTGATGCCTTTTGAAAAAGCCTTTAAGAAAATCTTGTTAAGAAAAAAGAAAAGCAGAGGATAAAGGAAGAGTCATCCTGACTATGGCAACACATGTGCAGATATGACAATGTAATATTATCAGTGCTAGAAGGAGCCTTATAAATCCAGTCCTGAACTCTGGCCTCTCCTAGTCACTTCCATCTTCCTCTGCCCTGAGCAACAGATATTTTTGACACTTGCAATTCTCCTGACACAACCCATCAATCTATTTTTGTCTCCCTTTGTTCCTTCTAAGTCACCCGAGGGATTTGGTCAAGTAAACTTGCCAGACCTTGGAAGGTCTGTACATCCCAGCACGGCTCAGCTGCCTGGGCATGGTGCAGAGGTGGGCTCCCACCTCTGCAGCTCCACTGCTGACACTCTTCTGCAGCCCCCAGCTGGGTGCAGCACAGTGGGATTAGTGCTGCTCTGCCAGGGGTGTGAACAGGACCCTGTCCCCTATGAAAATCCACTAATTGCATCTTTAGGTCGAGACAGTGAAGAGGATGTTTTGCCTATCTGTGGTATGAACATTATTCAGTCAATGTAAAAGTCAAGATTATGGTAAGCTCAGGTGTTAATCCTGGTGGTTGATCTAGTGTTTCATCCCTAGAGGGTGGATTTCTTTTTAGAATTAAATGAAAAAACCCTGATTACTGTACATCAATTTCCAGGAGAATTTGGTGTGTACACATGTGCCTAGCTGTTTCTGGCAAACTCTAGTTTTCCTTTCTAAAAACAGAAGCAAAGAATAAAACTGATGAGGCTCTAAATAAACCTAGTTTCCAATGGTTCCTGGTTTGGTTTGTGAACATAATCAAATATCACTACAAGTTCTGCTGGTCTGGAAGACTGTCACTGAAGCAGAGGGAACAATAGGAAATTTTACTTGGGCAAACCCTGCCCCAAGCCCTGTGACTACTTTTGGTGTCAGAGGGCAGCTCTCCCTGAGAGAGGCCTTGCTCAGCTGGTGCCAGCACAGAAGAAGCTTTCTGGCAGGGGATGGAAGGGCACAGACACCGAGGCAGATGTGGGGTCTCGGGCCTACAACAGCTCAGTGGAAACAGATAGCCAAAAGCTTATGGTAAATCCATGGTGGCAATAACACATTATGAAGTGTGATAAGTTACATCCTTATCATGTGAATAACACCTCTGGGGTATGCAAAGACACACACAAACAATGGATCTTTCCCAGTTATCAAAAACTTAATTTGGGGGAATATGAAAACAGAATAAAAGGGCATAGGAGACACAGGCTACCTGAGGGTTAGATGTCACCACATGAACTAAACCTGAGCAAATCTGTTTGACCTGCATCATGAGCACAACTGCTGGCTGACATTCACTCTGATACATCACCCTTTAGTGGTGTCCTGCACTGGCCAGGTTCTTCAAAGGTACTTTGGAAATGGAATCCTTCTGGAAAGCTGCTGTGTGAGACAGCCTCCACACATGGGGCAGCTCGTGGCCAGGAGCTCCCACTGCAGCAGGAGCAGACAGCACTGGTGCTTGAGAGCATTCCCTTCAGCTTCAGCCCACTGTGGGGTAAGGCCCTTCACAGCTTTTCAGGGATGAAAGCCGACACGGGTGACACAGGTTGCTCCCCAAAGCTTTCTCTTTTCAACTTAAAAGAGTTTTGTCTATTCTGAAATGTCTGAGCCCACACTAAATTATTTCTTTTTAATCCTGGCATTACTCAGCATTTGGCACTTGTTTCTCTAGTGATTTGTATTTATGCTTATTCAGGATGTAAGTGTTTCCATATACCCAGAGATCTTTTGAGCTGTGTCTCATGTCTCTGCCAACAAATCCAGGGAATACTCTTTTGTTTTTTCATAACATAAAAAAAGATGAAAATACATTTGTGTATGGGAAGCTCACAGGATGACATCATACCACCAACATACAGATCC